CTTTCCAAAACCCTACATTTTGGACTACATGGACGACCCTCTACTCCCAATAGAAGAGGAGATATCGACGAATGAAGGCTGGATATCGACGGAGAAAGGTTAGAAAACTTTAACCTTCGATATCTCCTAAACGGTTAGAGATACAGGCTTCGGACAGGTACCAAATTAAAGCCCTTTCAAAACCCTACATTTTGGACTACAATGACGACCCTCTACTCCCAATAGAAGCGGAGATATCGACGGATGAAGGCTGGATATCGACGGAGAAAGGTTAGAAAACTTTAAGCCTTCGATATCTCCTAAACGGTTAGAGATACAGGCTTCGGACAGGTACCAAATTAAAGCCCTTTCAAAACCCTACATTTTGGACTACAATGACGACTCTCTACTCCCAGTAGAAGCGGAGATATCGACGGAGAAAGGTTGGAAAACTTTAACCTACGATATCTCCTAAACGGTTAGAGATACAGGCTTCGGACAGGTACCAAATTAAGCCCTTTCAAAACCCTACATTTTGGACTACATGGACGACCCTCTACTCCCAATAGAAGCGGAGATATCGACGGATGAAGGCTGGATATCGACGGAGAAAGGTTGGAAAACTTTAACCTTCGATATCTCCTAAACGGTTAGAGATACAGTCTTCGGATTGGTACCAAATTAAAGCCCTTTCAAAACCCTACATTTTGGACTACATGGACGACACTCTACTCCCAGTAGAAGCGGAGATATCGACGGAGAAAGGTTGGAAAACTTTAACCTTCGATATCTCCTAAACGGTTAGAGATACAGGCTTCGGACAGGTACCAAATTAAAGCCCTTTCAAAACCCTACATTTTGGACTACAATGACGACCCTCTACTCCCAATAGAAGCGGAGATATCGACGGAGAAACGTTGGAAAACTTTAACCTTCGATATCTCCTAAACGGTTAGAGATACAGGCTTCGGACAGGTACCAAATTAAAGCCCTTTCAAAACCCTACATTTTGGACTACAATGACGACCCTCTACTCCCAATAGAAGCGGAGATATCGACGGATGAAGGCTGGATATCGACGGAGAAAGGTTAGAAAACTTTAACCTTCGATATCTCCTAAACGGTTAGAGATACAGGCTTCGGACAGGTACCAAATTAAAGCCCTTTCAAAACCCTACATTTTGGACTACATGGACGACCATCTACTCCCAATAGAAGCGGAGATATCGACGGATGAAGGCTGGATATCGACGGAGAAAGGTTAGAAAATTTTAACCTTCGATATCTCCTAAACGGTTAGAGATACAGGCTTCGGACAGGTACCAAATTAAAGCCCTTTCAAAACCCTACATTTTGGACTACAATGACGACCCTCTACTCCCAATAGAAGCGGAGATATCGACGGATGAAGGCTGGATATCGACGGAGAAAGGTTAGAAAACTTTAACCTTCGATATCTCCTAAACGGTTAGAGATACAGGCTTCGGACAGGTACCAAATTAAAGCCCTTTCAAAACCCTACATTTTGGACTACAATGACGACCCTCTACTCCCAATAGAAGCGGTGATATCGACGGATGAAGGCTGGATATCGACGGAGAAAGGTTAGAAAACTTTAACCTTCGATATCTCCTAAACGGTTAGAGATACAGGCTTCGGACAGGTACCAAATTAAAGCCCTTTCAAAACCCTACATTTTGGACTACATGGACGACCCTCTACTCCCAATAGAAGCGGAGATATCGACGAATGAAGGCTGGATATCGACGGAGAAAGGTTAGAAAACTTTAACCTTCGATATCTCCTAAACGGTTAGAGATACAGGCTTCGGACAGGTACCAAATTAAAGCCCTTTCAAAACCCTACATTTTGGACTACAATGACGACCCTCTACTCCCAATAGAAGCGGAGATATCGACGGATGAAGGCTGGATATCGACGGAGAAGGTAGAAACTTTAACCTTCGATATCTCCTAAACGGTTAGAGATACAGGCTTCGGACAGGTACCAAATTAAAGCCCTTTCAAAACCCTACATTTTGGACTACATGGACGACTCTCTACTCCCAGTAGAAGCGGAGATATCGACGGAGAAAGGTTGGAAAACTTTAACCTTCGATATCTCCTAAACGGTTAGAGATACAGGCTTCGGACAGGTACCAAATTAAAGCCCTTTCAAAACCCTACATTTTGGACTACAATGACGACCCTCTACTCCCAATAGAAGCGGAGATATCGACGGAGAAAGGTTGAAAATTTAACCTTCGATATCTCCTAAACGGTTAGAGATACAGGCTTCGGACAGGTACCAAATTAAAGCCCATTCAAAACCCTACATTTTGGACTACAATGACGACCCTCTACTCCCAATAGAAGCGGAGATATCGACGGATGAAGGCTGGATATCGACGGAGAAAGGTTAGAAAACTTTAACCTTCGATATCTCCTAAACGGTTAGAGATACAGGCTTCGGACAGGTACCAAATTAAAGCCCTTTCAAAACCCTACATTTTGGACTACAATGACGACCCTCTACTCCCAATAGAAGCGGTGATATCGACGGATGAATGCTGGATATCGACGGAGAAAGGTTAGAAAACTTTAACCTTCGATATCTCCTAAACGGTTAGAGATACAGGCTTCGGACAGGTACCAAATTAAAGCCCTTTCAAAACCCTACATTTTGGACTACATGACGACCCTCTACTCCCAATAGAAGCGGAGATATCGACGGATGAAGGCTGGATATCGACGGAGAAAGGTTAGAAAACTTTAACCTTCGATATCTCCTAAACGGTTAGAGATACAGGCTTCGGACAGGTACCAAATTAAAGCCCTTTCAAAACCCTACATTTTGGACTACATGACGACCCTCTACTCCCAATAGAAGCGGAGATATCGACGAATGAAGGCTGGATATCGACGGAGAAAGGTTAGAAAACTTTAACCTTCGATATCTCCTAAACGGTTAGAGATACAGGCTTCGGACAGGTACCAAATTAAAGCCCTTTCAAAACCCTACATTTTGGACTACATGGACGACTCTACTCCCAGTAGAAGCGGAGATATCGACGGAGAAAGGTTGGAAAACTTTAACCTTCGATATCTCCTAAACGGTTAGAGATACAGGCTTCGACAGGTACCAAATTAAAGCCCTTTCAAAACCCTACATTTTGGACTACAATGACGACCCTCTACTCCCAATAGAAGCGGAAGCGGAGATATCGACGGAGAAACGTTGGAAAACTTTAACCTTCGATATCTCCTAAACGGTTAGAGATACAGGCTTCGGACAGGTACCAAATTAAAGCCCTTTCAAAACCCTACATTTTGGACTACAATGGACGACCCTCTACTCCCAATAGAAGCGGAGATATCGACGGATGAAGGCTGGATATCGACGGAGAAAGGTTAGAAAACTTTAACCTTCGATATCTCCTAAACGGTTAGAGATACAGGCTTCGGACAGGTACCAAATTAAAGCCCTTTCAAAACCCTACATTTTGGACTACAATGACGACCCTCTACTCCCAATAGAAGCGGAGATATCGACGGATGAAGGCTGGATATCGACGGAGAAAGGTTAGAAAACTTTAACCTTCGATATCTCCTAAACGGTTAGAGATACAGGCTTCGGACAGGTACCAAATTAAAGCCCTTTCAAAACCCTACATTTTGCACTACATGACGACCTCTACTCCCATAGAAGCGGAGATATCGACGGAGAAAGGATATGGAGAAAACTTTAACCTTCGATATCTCCTAAACGGTTAGAGATACAGGCTTCGGACAGGTACCAAATTAAAGCCCTTTCAAAACCCTACATTTTGGACTACATGGACGACCCTCTACTCCCAGTGGAAGCGGAGATATCGACGGATGAAGGCTGGATATCGACGGAAAAGGTTGGAAAACTTTAACCTTCGATATCTCCTAAACGGTTAGAGATACAGGCTTCGGACAGGTACCAAATTAAAGCCCTTTCAAAACCCTACATTTTGGACTACATGGACGACTCTACTCCCAGTAGAAGCGGAGATATCGACGGAGAAAGGTTGGAAAACTTTAACCTTCGATATCTCCTAAACGGTTAGAGATACAGGCTTCGGACAGGTACCAAATTAAAGCCCTTTCAAAACCCTACATTTTGGACTACAATGACGACCCTCTACTCCCAGTAGAAGCGGAGATATCGACGAATGAAGACTGGATATCGACGGAGAAAGGTTAGAAAACTTTAACCTTCGATATCTCCTAAACGGTTAGAGATACAGGCTTCGGACAGGTACCAAATTAAAGCCCTTTCAAAACCCTACATTTTGCACTACATGGACGACCTCTACTCCCAATAGAAGCGGAGATAGATATCGACGGAGAAAGGTTAGAAAACTTTAACCTTCGATATCTCCTAAACGGTTAGAGATACAGACTTCGGACAGGTACCAAATTAAAGCCCTTTCAAAACCCTACATTTTGGACTACAATGGACGACTCCTACTCCCAAAGAAGCGGAGATATCGACGGATGAAGGCTGGATATCGACGGAGAAAGGTTAGAAAACTTTAACCTTCGATATCTCCTAAACGGTTAGAGATACAGGCTTCGGACAGGTACCAAATTAAAGCCCTTTCAAAACCCTACATTTTGCACTACATGGACGACTCTCTACTCCCAGTAGAAGCGGAGATATCGACGGAGAAAGGTTGGAAAACTTTAACCTTCGATATCTCCTAAACGGTTAGAGATACAGGCTTCGGACAGGTACCAAATTAAAGCCCTTTCAAAACCCTATATTTTGGACTACATGGACGACTCTCTACTCCCAGTAGAAGCGGAGATATCGACGGATGAAGGATGGATATCGACGGAGAAAGGTTGGAAAACTTTAACCTTCGATATCTCCTAAACGGTTAGAGATACAGGCTTCGGACAGGTACCAAATTAAAGCCCTTTCAAAACCCTACATTTTGCACTACATGGACGACTCTCTACTCCCAGATGTATATTGTACATTTAGCCCGATAGATACACGCATTTCATGCATTATTTGTAATAATGAAGTTACATTATTATTAAACATGCAAGTAGCTATGTGTGCCGCAATTTCAACAATAATGGCTCCGCTGTGCATTATTTTTGGAGCTACTTGCCAAATTAGATTATTCAAGCTGTCGCCACTAGTTTACATATAGCTACCAACGCAGTGCTCCAATAACGCGTCACATTTCAATATAGCAGAAAACACTTAAAAAATTCAAAATTCGATATCCCGTGTTAGGTGTTTCCAAACCTGGAATGTCGTCCGCACTTTTTAATTTTTTCACATTGGCCCTAGTACTTGCTTCATTTCTGTCGGCTTTGTACTGATTTTAAGTAGGATGCTTTTTCATTTTACATCTTTCCTAAATCTTCCAGAAATATGATCTTGTCTCCATTCTTTATTTCTTCCATCTTTACTTAGAATACTGTGAAATGAAGACTTTGATCCCAGTCTTAACTGCCAACTGTACGGATGGCAAGCTACTGACGAATTAAGCTATATTTATATCTAGATAACCGTTACGTTCAAAATATGTGACTCAAATAGGCTTCGTGCAGATATACCGAGAAATATTATAAATTCGAGAAGAATAATACATAGGACAGGCAATCAGACCACGCTGCCTAAGTAGCGCCCGCTTGTGCAAGATTTAAACGTACTCTCAGACCTGTAACTTCGTCATATGTTGCAATATCGACTTAAAACTGAAAGAAATTATTCTCCACATATGAAGCTTTGAGGTGTACAAAACGTAAACTCGATTTTTAACTCTGTTAGGTACATACGCCCCTTTAAACTATGGATACGTTCACGGTACTTTGCAGGAAACAGTTCCTTTTCTCCACAATATCAACAATAGACCTGAGAAATTAATCGTTTTGACAGTAACTTAATGTGTGACTATAGTAATATTGAAGAAAATCGTACAATATGCACTTACGCTTCCATTCTTCGAAAAAGAAAATATTTCTTTACTCCATTTTAATTATTACTTATGAGATAAAATATCTCCATGTAATAACATTCGATGAACATCAAAATGAACTAATGAACTAAATGAACTAACTAAACCATCACAAAATCTAAGTAACATTGTAATAGTAATATAATGTTCCGTTCACGAAATACTCTTTCCTCGGAATTAGTACTCGTGTTAGACAACTACTCCCGTTTAATTGGAATAACTTTCATGCGGATCGGACGTGAGGTGCGTAATACAATATCCAACTTGAATGAAACATCCTTCAAATAATCAACGGGTTCCAAGTAAAAATTGTACACCAGGCTGGCTATCATAGCCTTCAACTCCAACATGGCAAATCGTTGACCTAAAGATTTTAATATCATTAGAATTTATTTGCGATGTAGGAATATAGTATCTTATGAATTACCTATGCAATTTCGTAATCCTGCGCTGAACGGTACATAGGAATAAGGATGACGTTTCTGTATATTCTCTGGTAAAAATCTGTCTGGATCAAATACTTCTGGATCCGGCCAAAAGTTAGGATCGTGATGAAGGGTATAGATAAAAAGATGCATCGTTGTATCTTTTGGTATTATATATGATTCTGAAAATAACAGTGAACATACTAGAGTCTTTTTTCTTTACAAACAGCGAGGAAAAATTTAAATCATAAATATATCGGTATATAAATTTTATAGCATATAGATCCATTAATTATTTACGTAATTTTAGATCAGTGGTGCAAATGCGCGATATTATAGCAACGCTAGGATACAGTCTTAATGATTCTTTCAAGCATCTCTCTAAATAAGGTAGATTCTGTAACGCACTCATCGTAAGCTTCCCATTATTTTCCTGCATCACCTCATTAATTTCATTTCTTACACGATCCTGCAAACAAAAGTTTATACAATACACATCTTTTGCGTCTATATTGATTGTTAAATCGGAATTGTTTATATGTTTGTAGAATATTTGTAATTTCTAAAACAGTCTTCATAATTAAAAAGATCGAGAGAGAAAGAGACATAGAGAGAGAAATACTGAAAAATTTACCGAGACGATCTTTTAAAAGCTTAAAATTCCCTTCAATTATTTGATAAAACTGATTTATAGATATTTATAAAATATATAAAATAAATATATAAGACAAGTTTAAATAATCGTATATATATTGACAATTTATCATTGGTTGACGTTATTGCAAAAAGTTTGTTGCGAGATTATTTTAAGATGGGAAAAGTACCTGAATATCCTTATGTTCAGCTAATAATAGTAGACTAAAACATAAACTTGTCGCCACAGTGTCATGACCCTGTAATGATAAGAATTTCTTTCCGTACAGTTAATTAGTGTATACGTGAATAATAATAATTATACGCTGCAGAAAGCACGCAGATGAAGTACAGTCGGAATAAATGTTTCGCACTTATAGTTTCCAATAATCGCCGTTTAATATGCTCCGTTTAATATATCTCGTTGTATCATAATTACTATTATAATATTATTATCATCATATCATAATACTATTAAATCATAACTATATACTATTAAATCATATCATATCATAATACTATTAAAAGTATTAGCTTACAACATACATATATTAAACAGAAATACAGCTATATTCTTGAACAATTTTACAAAACTGTAACGTTTACCTCGAACACGAAAGTGTCAATTTCTTCTCTAATATCTGAATCAGTCAAATTACCATTGCGAGATTCTGCTAGCAAAATGTCCAATATGGCCATTCGTTTCTTTTTATCTTAAATAAACATAAAATACGTTATCTGTGCATCACATGACGTACAATATTTTATAGACGAAACATACTCCCTGTTATTTCTTTGTCTTCTATTTCTGTGTTGTTTTCAAAGTACTTCAAATATCGTTCTCTGGTTTCTTCATGATAACGTTTTCTATTTGCGATAATCTACAAAGACAAAGAAAAATATAATACCAACGTTATTTATTTCAATGCTACTAAAAGTATTTCTTAATTGATTTATTAACAAATTGATAATTTTTATTTATATATTTGCAAGAAGAATGTTTTCTTAAATGTCCAAATAATGTAATAACGTCTACATAAACATACTCACTTTCTCAGTAAATGAATGCAAGATATTCAAATACTTTGATTGTATAGTACTCAGTGATGTTAAATTAAATATCGTATCATTGAAAAGCCATGGTTTGACCAATCTAAGAGCAATTACATAAAATTAAATATGTTTAAGAAAATAATTGTATGGCTCCTAAATAATTTAGGTTGATTTCTTTTAACATACTTATTTATATATTACCTTTCGATTATAAGTTTACCGATATGGTGAATAGTCTGCCGATATTGTTGAGACTGATCGAAGTCGCTCAAAGAAATACCCATGGAGGTTTCTGAAAATATACTTGCCAAAGTTATATAGAAAAGTCGTCGGTCATATTAGTTTTACCACAATAATTTGATACTATTACACGCATGGTATTCATCGTGTTTCATTTGAAACTAGTAGAATATAAAAAGACATAAAATGCAATAAAGAACTCCGTATGTGTTTGTTACGTAAAATAACCTTCGGTCATTGCCCGCGCGTGCAGGTATTCAACATTTACGAATACATGCGCATATATATACATTACACACAGAAGAAAATATCAGGTTGTTTGAAAGAAACATAATCGACATTCAGATTCTATGTCGTCATAACTGCATGTTTAATTCTTTGATTTTACGCAGTTATGATAATGGAGTTGTAATAATATGGAGTTGTGACATAGATTTGTTCAAAATTATGAAAATTACGACATATTCTAGAACAGAATAATTTAACCAAGATTACTTTTTCAAAAGAAACATACCGGGGGGGTCCTTTAGGACTGGAAACAATTCGTTACACATTAAAACATGCCAATTTAAGAAATTGATAAAAATAATAAAAAGTTCACGCGAAAAAGACGCAAATTTTCGTAAAAAAGGCAAAATATACATATATATACCACATATTGCATTTAATGTATGATGACTGGTAAATAACATCACGTCTTCGATAATTGACTCTTCGGCAGGATTAAAAGACTTCACTGCGCGATTACCCTCTTCAATAAAAGTTTTGACAAATTCTTTCAATATAGAAAAGTGAAAGGCAGGCGTTAGTATCTTTCGTCTTTGATGCCACTTGGCTCCTAAGAAAAAGATAAGATAATATTATATGCGTGCATAAATATTATTTTTTATTATTGTTATCATGTTATCATTGTTATCATGTATATTGTTATCATGTAGCACATGATCATGTTATCATGTTATCATTGTTATCATGTATATTGTTATCATGTAGCACATGTAACGAAAGATGACATTTATTCAACTTATGTCGCGATAAATTAAGATTAAGCGTACTCACTTTGATAATCGCTAGCACTTAACGTACTATATTTAGTTTCTTAGAACTCTATTATGTCGTGATTGTTTTCTTCAAGAACTATCAAAGGCAATGATACTGTTCTGCATGAAAATTACGCATGACAAAAATACCTTGACTAGTAAGGAGACCATCACCTAACCAGGGATGAAAAAATTTGTACTCGTAACCTTTTACAGTGTGCTCCATACTGCTTAATATTTTCTAAAATCATAACGATATAGGATTAAAAAGCATGTTGTTATTATTGAATTATACAGATAACAATGATAGAATATGGGGAATATGTGTATGATTTTAAGTTGAAGTTGTAAACATTGACTTCGATTAACGTTAATGAAAACGCTGTGTAGATAATAAAATGTATCTATTTTCCGTAATAGTAGTTTTACCAACCTGCACGTCGTCCGGGTGATGAATAAAAACGTTAGGAAACGTGAGAATCCAAAATTTACTAATTGGATAAAATCTCTTTGTGTAATCGAGTACAAAGAGCCATAGTTTTTCTAAAATGTAAAGAATATTGAATTCAAAACTGTAAAAAATATTAAATTTAGATTTTCTACAATTTTTTCATAGTATTATTCTTTTCAACAATCCATTATACAATTAAATCAGAATTAACACCTTACATCTTGCTAACGAGCTATTGTGCAATTTTAGCTACTAATAGGGATTTCATTTTTTATTGTTGATTAGCGACAAACAAATTAATAGCTTATTATGTGAAACTTTATATAAATTTTTACTTACCTGGCGAATATGAACTAATTCGTATAACATATGGAGTAGGAAAACGTAAAGATCCTGGTATTTGTTCAATAAGCCGTCCATTTCTTCCAAAGTGGGCGACACAAAGATATATGATCACGAGAAAGAGACATGTTAATAATATAGTAATGATCATTATTCGTTGAAATGATAGCCGCTTTAACACTTTGTCTTTCTTCTTAATCCTTACATCCTATACTGCAACATAAAAAAGGTATCGTTTTATGAAAAACATATCCAAGATGAAATGCGAAATTGTATATAATACATATATACAGGGTGGTTGATTATAAGTTGCCAACCCGAAATGTCAAAGTAGATTGGGTTAAGATAAACATAAAAGTCCCATACCGTTTTGCGAGATTCGCAATAATCATCGAGTTATTAATGACAGAAATCTGAGGAATGGGAGCGCGCCGACATAGATGATTCGAGAAACGTTGCAGCTACTCAGGCCACAGCGCGGCCCACTCGACCCAGCAACTATTGGCGATGTGCGGCGAGACGTAGGTCTGGCGAGATAAAACAACGAATAGCAGCGCATTGTCTTTCCCCTCGCCGCGCACTGGCAACAGTTTCTGGATCAACTGGGTCGCGCTGCAGCCTAAGCAGCTGCAACGCTTCTCCAACTATCTATGTCGGCGCGCTCCCATTCCTCAGATTTCTGTCATTAATAACTCGATAATTATTGCGAATCTTGCAAAACGGTATGGGACTTTTATGTTTATCTTAACCCAATATACCTTCACATTTCGAGTTGACAACTTATAATCAACTACCCTGTATACATATACAGGGTGTTTGATAGCTGATCATGCAGACGAAAGTTGGAGATAGATTGGGTGTAGCCGAGAAGAAAGTCATGTATCATAATGTCAAATTGCCAATAGTTATCGAGTTATTAATTAAAACATGTGAGCCAACGAGCGCGTAGAGAGCGGAGGGCGGCCGCAGTAAGCACGTAGACATTTGATACAGGCGGAGTTAGCGAGTAACGGTAGGCGAGCGCGCGCGACGAGGGGCAACGTAAACGACAAGAGGCGCTCGCTCGCTCCTCGTCGCGCGCGCTCGTCTCTTGTCGCTTACGTCGTCCCTCGCCGTTGGCTCACATATTTTAATTAATAACTCGGTAACTATTGCCAATTTGACATTATGGCACATGACTTTTCTTCTCGGCTACACCCAATCTATCTCCAACTTTCGTCTGTATGATAAGCTTTCAAACATCCTGTATATATATTTACGTATACAGGGTGTCCCATTTAACCTGACAAATCGTAATTTCTGGAAAACTACATGTCGGATCAAAAAAAGTGGGTAATGAAATTTGTTTGTCTCGAAGAGGGACATCCAATGATATCAAACTCAACCTCCCCCCCCACTCCTAGGGGGTGGGGGTGGGGGGCAACTTTGAAATCTTAAATGGGAACCCCCATTTTTTATTGCAGATTCAGATTCTGCGCCACAAAATACGTAAGTTTCGTCCGAAATTCTTTTTTTGATTCGTGATAGATGGCGCTATAATCGCAAAAAATTAGGTTTTCTGCAATTTTCCAGAAATGACAAATTTTCCATAAAACATGTTTCCATAAAACAATTTTCCATAAAACATGTTTCCATAAAACAATTTTCCATAAAACATGTTTCCATAAAAACTTCACGTAGAATCTAATTCTGCAATGAAAAATGTGGATTCTCATTTGAGATTTGAACGTTACCACCCACCCTACCCCGAGGGGATGGGGGGAATAATTGTTATTATGTTTTTTAAAAATATTTTTAAAAATATTGAGCAGGTATTTTTTTATTTTTCAATCCAATGATCATTTCTGGAGAATTGCAGAAAATCTAATTTTTTGCGATTACAGCGCCATCTATTACGAACCAAAAAAAAAGTTTCGGACGAAACTTACTTATTTTGTGGCGTAGAATCCGAATCTGCAATAAAAAATGGGAGTTCCCATTTAAGATTTCAAATTTGCCCTTCACCCCCACCCCCGGGAGTGGGGTGGGAGGTCGAGTTTGATATCATTGGATGTTCCCCTTCGAGGCAAATAAATTTCATTACCCACTTTTTTTGATCCGACATGTAGTTTTCCAGATATTACGATTTGTCAGGTTAAATGGGACACCCCGCATAATTTACACACACACACACACACGTATATGTAAAATTGCAAATATCCAGGAATTTATAAATAAAGCAAATGTAATTGCAGATAATTTATCGTTATATAATTTATATTATTTTAGAAAAGATTTTACGTATTTTTGAAATAAATACGTATTACGATTTTATTAATAAGAACGTATTTTTTTGATAGTACCTAAACACTATTAAAATAAATGATATTTATGTCGACAAATAGAACTGATTAACAACATATGATATTTAAATAAAAGCAGGTCATTTTAAATCAAGAGTTATATAATTAAAAGAGTTATATAATTATATTGTAAAAGTTATATAGTTAAAAGAGTAATTAAAGAGTTATATAATTTCATAGTTCACAAAACGCAATACAAGAATGCACAAGAAACTCACAGCGTTCGAAATTTTAACAGTCTTTCAATATATCGACGATCAATGTATCGTGTCTTCGGACTTTATTACAATCTGATATACATTAACTGAACGTTGAGTTCTGCACACAAACTATCCGCGTAAGTATGAAGTAGGACTTTATACTATTTCATGTTTACTCAGTCACATATATAAGTTATACACCAACGTTGTAGTCACTACTGAAATCAATATTAGAATTTATAATGTAATTTTATAATAAAATTTTGAAAATATCATTATTAATTACAAACAATCAGTCAGATACTCGTCACTAGGTGATAAATATCCAAGATACATAAAAGAAAAGAGCAAAGTATGAAAAAATATTAAATAAATATTTTCGTAGTTTTAATGAAGCAGAATATTACGCACTGTTTTCTGATTAAAGTAGTCGTACAAAGAGTAGCAAGTAGCTACTACTATGACAAATATACACACGCACGTATACGCAGTTATAGATAAGTCGCGTGCACGTTCTCAATGTTATCTTTTTATCAATATTTTGTCAAACAAAGTCAGCAATTTAAGATGATAAAATTTTAGTTTAACATTCAAGTCCAATGTTGAAGACGTTAATACTTAATACTTCTACATTAATACTTAATACGATACTTTTAATCTATAATGTCTTGCTTTATTTGTATATTTCGTTCCTATAAATTCAATTTGTCTAAAATTGACAAATGTTTATAATTCTGAAAGAGTTGATCTTTCGACTTATGTTTTTACTAACAAGGAGATGGCAATATACAATAATATCTGTTTTATTATATAAAAACATATTTTCAAATGTTAATCAGTTATGTTTCCCTTCAAACATACATAATGTAAAATATTTCGGCCAAACAAATAATTCTTTGATAAAATGTTCGTGGTGTGCTACTTGTTTGTGTTTTACATGCTTTTATGTGAATTTTCCTCCACAATATTGTATGGCAATGTCTGAATTTTATAATAAATAATTAAAATGTTTATTCTTGTTAATTTTTATATAATAAAACAGATATTATTGTATACGTGTGCATTATATTTCTGTCCTACGAAAAATAATAAAAATATTAAAAATATTATAGAAATATTAATAAAATATAGTAATATATAATATAAAAAAAAAGTTGGCACTGCGAAAACTCAAACATACCTCGGATGTAGACCACAAAATAATAGCGCGCGCCTTAGCTTCCGCAGTTACCGCACTTCACGCTTATTGATTCCAAGTTACTAGACTTAACATGTAGCTGTTTCTTTAATTGCAAATTTCTCGCAACGAAGGCCCATGCACGCAAACTCTTTTAGGATTTTATGTACTCAACCCCTCCATTCGAATGAAATATGACTCATTCAATTATCGATTTTACATGTCTTGCCATCTCCTTGTAAGTATATTTTACTCAATATATCGTAAATATTATTTGCCTTATAAGCCTGGGACTTTTTTCTTTAAAGAGGCATATATACCTAGGAGCCTGAGAAAAAGGTAAATTTCAGAAATTTTTTCTGGAAAATTATTGAAGTTACAGGATTCGGTTTTTCCTTTATTTGAAAACATACACTTTTAAGAATATTCATGATTTTTTATGGTCTGCATTTATAAAAAATAATACAAGCAAACGAAGTAATATTCGAAAAATTCGTATAATCGGTACCACACGTAGCTTCGCAAAAACTCAACTCAAACAAAAAAGAGAAATAGATTATTAAAATAGATAGTATAATTTTTCGCATATTGTAGTCGTATTGCAGTTTTGAAAATATCGATTTTTATGGCGGAATCGATTTGAATTTAACATAGCGATTTTCAAGGAAAAATTCATTCTTCAGCGTTTTTCTGCTGTAAAATAATTACGTATCATAAAAATAATCCTACGATACACGATAGAGAATTATGTATAGAATAAGTAAAAAAAGTTGCAGGTACATCGGTTTAATGGTTAGGTTAGGCTTTAGAGTAATTTCTGGTACCAGTTCGACAAAAATTGTTCCGAGGAAAACACGTTTGAATGTTTAGTCGTTGGTAAATCATGAAATTTGTTTAACTTACATCGAATCATCGATACCAGGGCCGTAATGTAGGTCTTTCCTGACGGATGATATAGTGAGTCTTTCACATTTTCATTCGCTGGCGACGACGTGCTCTCGCTTTTTTAGTAATCCCAAGTCGCGCACCTTTGTTTGTGCGGCGGCCATCTTCCTGTATAGTATATTGTACGTTCAGCCTAACAGATACACGCATTTCATGCATTATTTGTAATAATGAAGTTACATTATTATTAAACATGCAAGTAGCTGTGTGTGCCACAATTTCAACAATAATGACTCCGCTGTGCATTATTTTTGGAGCTACTTGCCAAATTAGATTATTCAAGCTGTCGCCACATATAGCTACCAACGCAGTGCTCCAATAACGCGTCACATTTCAATATAGCAGAAAACACTCAAAAAATTCAAAATTCGATATCCCGTGTTAGGTGTTTCCAAACCTGGAATATCGTCCGCACTTTTTAATTTTTTCACATTGGCCCCAGTACTTGCTTCATTTCTGTCGGCTTTGTACTGATTTTAAGTGGGATGCTTTTTCATTTTACATCTTTCCTAAATCTTCCAGAAATATGATCTTGTCTCCATTCTTTATTTCTTCCATCTTTACTTAGAATACTGTGAAATGAAGACTTTGATCCCAGTCTTAACTGCCAACTGTACGGATGGCAAGCTACTGACGAATTAAGCTATATTTATATCTAGATAACCGTTACGTTCAAAATATGTGACTCAAATAGGCTTCGTGCAGATATACCGAGAAATATTATAAATTCGAGAAGAATAATACATAGGACAGGCAATCAGACCACGCTGCCTAAGTAGCGCCCGCTTGTGCAAGATTTAAACGTACACTCAGACCTATAACTTCGTCACATGCAATCGTCATTGCAATATCGACTTAAAATTTAAAGAAAATATTCTCCACATATGAAGCTTTAAGATGTACCAAACGAAAACTCGATTTTTAACTCTGTTAGGTACATATGCCCCTTTAAACTGTGGATACATTCACGGTACTTTGCAGGAGGCAGTTCCTATTCTCCCCGATATCAACAATAGACCTGAGAAATTAATCGTTTTGACAGTAACTTAATGTGTGACTGTAGTAATATTGATAAAGAAAATCGTACAATATGCACTTACGCTTCCATTCTTCGAAAAAGAAAATATTTCTTTACTCCATTTTAATTATTACTTATGAGATAAAATATCCCCATGTAATAACATTCGATGAACACCAAAATGAACTAATGAACTAATGAACTAAATGAACTAACTAAATGAACTAACCTAAATGAACTAACTAAATGAACTAATGAACTAATGAACTAAATGAACTAACTAAACCACCACAAAATCTAATTAACCTTATAAGAGTAACATAATGTTTCGTTCGCGAAATATTCTTTCCTCCGAATTAGTACTCGCGTTAGACAATTACTCCCGTTTAATTGGAATAACTTTCATGCGGATCGGACGTGAGGTGCGTAATAAAATATCCAACTTGAATGAAACATCCTTCAAATAATCAGTGGGTTCCAAGTAAAAATTGTACACCAGGCTAGCTATCATAGCTTTCAACTCCAACATGGCAAATCGTTGACCTAACGATTTTAAGACATTTAGAATTTATTTGCGATGTAGAATATAGTATCTTATGAATTACCTATACAATTTCGTAATCCTGCACTGAACGGTAGATAGGAATAAGGATGACGTTTCTGTATATTCTCTGGTAAAAATCTGTCTGGATCAAATACCTTCGGATTCGGCCAAAAGTTGGGATCGTGATGAAGAGCATAGATAAAAAGATGCATCGTTGTGCCTTTTGGTATTGTATATGATTCTGAAAATATCAGTGAACATACTAAAGTCTTTTTTTTACAAACAGCGAGGAAAAATTTAAATCATAAGTATATCCGTATATAAATTTTATATACGGCCAAAAGTTAGTTCGGCCAAAAATCCCAAATCCGTATAAAAATTTTATGACATATAGATCCATTAATTACTCACGTAATTTTAAATCAGTGGTGCAAATGCGCGATATTACAGGAACGCTAGGATACAGTCTTAATGATTCTTTCAAGCATCTCTCCAAATATGGTAGATTCTGTAACGCATTCATCGTAAGCTTCCTATTATTTTCCTGCATTACCTCATTAATTTCCTTTCTTACACGATCCTGCAAACAAAAGTTTATACAATATACATCGTTTGCGGCCATATTGATTGTCAAATCGCTATTGTCCATATGTTTCTAGAATATTTATAATTTCTAAAACAATGTTATTTAGTTAAAAAGATCGAGAGAGAGAGAGAGAGAGATAGAGAGAGAGAGAAAGAGAGAGAGAAAGAGAAAGAGAAATACTGAGAAATTTACCGAGACGATTTTTTATAAGCTTAAAATTTCCTTCAATTATTTGATAAAAACTGATTTACAAAATGTATGGATATTTATAAAATATATAAATTAAATATATAATACAAGTTTAAATAATCGTATATATATTGGCAATTCATCATTGGTCGACGTTATTGCAAAGAGTTTGTTGCAAGATTATTTCAGGAGGGGAAAATGTACCTGAATATCCTTATGCTCAGCTAATAATAGTAGACTAAAACATAAACTTGTCGCCACAGTGTCATGACCCTGTAATGATAAGAATTTCTTTCCGTACAGTTAATTATTGTATACGTGAACAATAATAATTATACGCTGCAGAAAGCACGCAGATAAAGAGCAGTCCGAAAAAATGCTTCGCACTTATAGTTTCCAATAATCGCCGTTTAATATGCATCTCGTTGTATCATATCATAATTACTATTAAAATTATTAGCTTACAACATATATTAAACAAATATACAACTACATTCTTGAGCAATTTAACAGAACACTAATGTTTACCTCGAACACGAAAGTGTCAATTTCTTCTCTGATATCTGAATCAGTCAAATTACCGTTGCGAGATTCTGCTAGCAAAATGTCCAACATGGCCATTCGTTTCTCTTTCACTTAAATAAACATAAAATACGTTATCTGTACAAATGAATTTCATGATATACAGTTATTTTATATAGGAAACATACTCCCTATCACTTCTTCATTTTCTGTTTCTGTGTTATTTTCAAAGTACTTCAAATATCGACCTCCGGTTTCTTCATGATAACGTTTTCTATTCGCAATAATCTACAAAGTCAACAACAACAAAGAACAACAAACTACAAAGATCTACAAAGATAAAGAAAAATATAATTCCAATGTTATTTATTTCAACGCTTCTAAAAATATTTCTTAATTAATATTTTAACAAATCGATAATTTTTATTTATATATTTGCAAGAAGAATGTTTTCTTAAATGTCCAAATAATGTAATAACGTCTACATAAACATACTCACTTTCTCAGTAAATGAATGCAAGATATTCAAATACTTTGATTGTATAGTACTCAGTGATGTTAAGTTAAATATCGTATCATTGAAAAGCCATGGTTTGACCAATCTAAGAGCAATTACATAAAATTAAATATGTTTAACCACTTGCGCTGGAAAGACGTGCTACGCATGTCAAGATGCTTTTGTCACAAAATCGCCAACGACGTGCTGTACACGTCGGCGGGCAATTGTCACAGAAATAAAAAAGATGTGCGTGGCACGTCGACTGAGACTGTTTGCTAGAGCATAGTTGCTGATTACACTACATCGCGTCTAATTATCCATATTCAACCCATATTCTAAAATGGGAAACGACAGTGAAGTTAGCGATATTATTTCGACAAATAGAAAAAGAAAACAAGATAGTGCGAATAGTGATAGCGATTTCGATGAAATCGTTTTTCCACTTCGCAATCGGCGTAGAATCATTTCTGATGACGAGGAAGAAAGCAAAAATAAAGATTGTGAAATTAATCTTATATCTAAGGAATGGATGTAGAAAAACACTCAAAATATAAGTAAAATATGGAAATATTCACGAATTCCAAGAATAAATATACTAGTTGGGCAAAATGTCACAGCTTTACAAATGGCAAATGGAATACTAACGGAAAACTTTTGGACAATCTTTGTAACAGAAACTAATCGTTACGCGAGTCAGACTTTCCAAAATGCAACTAGCAAATTAAAAAAGTATGAAGACAAATGGAGGGACACGAATATAGATGAGATAAATGCTTGCATTACTTTATGCATTTTGATGTTTCAAGTAAAAAAACCCACTGTTCAATCTTATTGGTCAAAAAGAAGCATAATCGAAACTCCTATATTTCGAAAAACCATACCATTTTGGAGATTTGCCCTACTATCTCGCTTTTTACACTTCACTAACAACGAAGTTGTAGACAATAACGATGACCGTTCATGTAAATTGCGAAGTATAATCGACTATTTAAATGAAAAATTTAAAACTACACTCCCGAGGAATATGTATCATTAGATGAATCTCTAATGAAATATATAGGCCGCATGTCATATAAGCAGTACAATCCGTCGAAAAGAGCACGCTTTGGAAAGAAATTCTATAAACTTTGTGGATCTAAGTCGGGATATTGCATTCAATTTAAAATATATACTGGTCAAGATATAGATAAAAATGCAAACACAAGTGCATCGGAAAATGTCACGATGTTTATGTGCACATCAATAGCTGGTTACGGACACACTCTGTTTGTCGACAATTGGTATTCTTCGCCAGGACTGTTTGAAAAGTCGCAATTTATAAAAACTAATGCCATAGGAACAGTGAGGTCCAATAGAAAGAATATGCCCAAAGAACTTGCAGCAACAAAACTGAAACGATCTGATGTTATCTCAAGATCGTGTAATGGCATTTTAGTTGCAAAATGGAAAGATAAGAAAGACATATATTTACTGTCCACAAAACATTCGAAAATTGAGATGATGGAAATGGAAAAGAAGAGGTGGAAAAATTATAATAGCCCTGTTACAAAGCCCAATATCGTTTTGGAGTATAATGATGGCATGGGTGGGATGGATCTGCAAGATAGTTACTTATCTTCGTTTACGCTCATGAGGAAATATGTAAAAAGTTATAAAAAATATTTTTTTACTTAGCGGATTTTGCACTTTTTAATTCTTATGCTTTATTCTGTAAAAAATGGATGTAACAAAAAGCAAGAAATATTCGTTTTTGAAGTTTCGATTAGATGTGGCAGAGCAAATTTTACAAGGTGTATGTATTCCTGATTATAAAAAATGTGGAAGGATGTCTGTTGGTTGCACACCAGATCGTTTACAGGCAAAGCAATGGGGACATTTCCCGAGGAATATTCCACCCACAAACGCCAAAAAGATCCACAAAGAAGGTGTAGAGTATGTGCCAAACACAAAAAACGCAGTGAAACTACATGGGAATGCAAGAAATGCCTCATGCCATTACATATTCCAGACTGTTTCGAAAGATACCATACTTTGCACGATTATTAATAAACAAATTTAGTGTTTAGATTTGTATAATTTTATCACCAATCGATGCATCGTTATATTCTCTTCAAAAAACTATTAGACGACCTAGGTCGAAAATTAATTAGTTTAGAAGATATAAATCTTTTCCCGATTTCTATAAGGTTTCGAACACTTAACGTCTCGCAGTGAGTTGCAGTCAACTGTTTTGGTACGCATATCTGTGAATTTCTTGCCAGCGCCAGGGGTTAAGAAAATAATTGTATGGCTTCTAAATAATTTAGGTTGATTTCTTTTAACATACTTATTTATATATTACCTTTCGATTATAAATTTACCCATATGGTGAATAGTCTGCCGATATTGTTGAGACTGATCAGAGTCATTCAAAAAAATGCCCATAGACGTTTCTGGAAATATACTTGCCGAAATCACATGAAAAACTTATTGGTCATACTAGTTTCACTATAATAATTTGATACTGTTACATGGATGGCATTCACCGTCTTTCATTTGAAACTAGTAGAATATAAAAAGACATAGAGTGCAATAAAGAACTCCGTATGTGTTTGTTACGTAAAATAACCTTCGGTCATTGCCCGCGCGTGCAGGTATTCAACATTTACGAATACATGCGCATATGTATACATTACACACAGAAGAAAATATCAGGTTGTTTGAAAGAAACATAATCGACATTCAGATTCTATGTCGTCATAACTGCATGTTTGATTCTTTGATTTTACGCAGTTATGATAATGGAGTTGTAATAATATGGAGTTGTGACATAGATTTGTTCAAAATTATGAAAATTACGACATATTCTAGAACAGAATAATTTAACCAAGATTACTTT